TGCCCAAGTGATCTTCATCAGTGTAGTATTGATTTTCTTATTTTCAGTAATAGATCCTTATTACTAATGAACTGATCACTGTTAGAATTAAGTTCTCAACTGTCCATCGCCAGCTAATTCAAGCATCTGTCCTTTTCATCCAGTCATATTTTTGTGTTCATTAGTTCATCATTGATTGCTGTATGTTGACTCTCATGTAAAAAAGATACATATGAATTGCAAGATGAAATTGCAAATATTGCAAGAGTTGCAGGATTTCTTTTTTTTTAATTTGTTTATTTTTTTATGGTGACATTGGTTAACGAAATCCGATAAGTTTTAGCTGTACATTTTAACAATAAAGCATATATATTTACATTGTGTGTTCATTTCCCAAGGTTAGTTTTTTTTTCTGTCACCACATATTTGGCCACTTTTCCGCATCTACCTCCCTCCTCTCCCCTCCTCCTTCCCCTCCGGAGTTGCAGGATTTCTTGACGGTAACAAAATATGCTGGAGGAAGTGATTGACCTAATGAAAGTTTTGCCAGATTTAGGTCAGTAAACAAAAGAAAGAAAATGAGACTGTTAGAATGGGCCTCTTAAATATAAAGAATGATTTGCGTATTAAGAAATAAAGACCAACCTCTCAGGAAAGTGACCTTGATAATTGTACCTAGAGTCAAATATAAAATAAAAAATGTTGAATTGTACAAGCCATACAATTTTTTTCAGAAAAATCACACACACACACACACACACACACACACACACACTTAGGTGATATCTTTTTTAAAATTTAAGAATATGATGTTTTTATGATTATAATATAATATTTGTTAAATTTAATATGAAATAAATTTATTTTTGTATTTTTTAGTTTCATCTTTGAAGATAAAATTCCAAAGAAATAAAGTCAGGTCTCTATTTTTCAGTGAATTCACTTTAAGCTGACTTTGACTATACTAATTATCCTTAGATGACAAGGACCTTTTCTGTTTGTTTATTGCCTGTCTCCAGTGTAGATTGAAGTTCATTCCTGGCTCCTAATGATGCTTAATAAATGTTTGTTGAATGAGTGAAATAAGAAATAATCATCGGCGTGAAATCTCAGTTAAGAGCCAGTCTTAAATCCGAAAACCGGCTCCTGGTAATGAGGTTTTCGTTACTTGTTTTCTTCACAGAGTAACAGATTCCCTGGATACGCTTTCAGAAATTTCTTCGAAGAAAAATCGTTCCTATCCTGGTAAGATCACACAGTTTTATGTTCCTGATAATTATTTCTTTATTTTCATTTAATGAAGCATTTTATTGTGAAATATATAATGAAATATATATAAATACACACACACACACACATACGCACACACACGAGTGTATGAAACGTATTCATGTGGTTTGTGTAATGGTGAAGCAGACATGTGTTACCTGGCCTCTAGCCGAAGACTCTAGAAACCCTTGTGTGTCCCTCTAGCTATCTGCCTCCCTTTTCATACACCCTGTCCTCTGGTTTGAGTCTTGAATTTTATGTTAATTATTCTTTTGATTTCCTTTATATCTTTATTACCCAGATATAGATATATCAATGTTCAGTTTTGAGGTTTTTGCTATTTTGTTATTTAGTGTTCCATTAAAATATATTATTTATGCTATACTTGATGGATATTTGGGTTATATCCTTTTTGTTTGTTTGTTTATTTTTAACTATTACAAAATATGCTATTGTCCTGTTTTGTTTTGTTTTTTTGCTGTTACAAAAGCTTCTCTAGGATTGCCAGGCATGGGGTAGCCATACCTTCGGCCTTTCTAGATGGCACCGAACTGCTTGCAGTGCACGTACGTTCTCGTGAGCAGTGGATGGGACTCTCTGCTGCTCCTCACCTCACCACTAGTCTCGTTTGGTTTAGAAGCCTTTGCCCATCTGATGGATTTCAGCGGTCTCATTGCTGTTTAAATTTGTGTTTTCCAGATTACAGATGAGGTTGAGCCTATTTTCATGTTTATGGGCCATTTACATTTTCTCTTTTCCAACATCCCTGTTCAAGTTCTTGCTTAGCTTTTTTTTTGGTTGGTTTGTCTTTCTCTTATTAATTTGTAGGTTTCTTTATATATTTTGGACACTAACATTTTGTTGGTTTTGTGTGTCGTAAATTTCTTGCCCTTGCCTTTTGCCCTTTTTTAAAGTGTATTTTCTTCATATATTCTGGACGCTAATATTTTGTTGGTTTTGTATGTTGCAAATGGCTCACTTATGTCTTCCGCCCTTTTTTCCTGGTATATTTTGATGAGCAGAGTTCTTAATTTTTAAGTAGGCAAAATAGCAAACCATTATGTTTTCTATATTTTGTCTTAAGAAATCTTTTCCTAAAACAGACATCATAAAAATATTTTTCTATAGTGCTTTCTAAAGATTTTCTAATTTTGCTTTTCATATTTGTCAGTTTACCTGGAATTGATTTTGCATATAGATAGGACCTAATTTTATTTTTTCTCCATATGGATAGCCATCTGTGAAAGAGTAATTTGTATAATATCAGTCCTTAAATATTTGTTGAGGTTAATTGTACAGCCTGTGGATTTTCACCATTCTAATTAATAGATGTATAGTTGTATCTCATTGTTTTAATTGAAATCCTATAATGACATAACAAAGTACCAAAATAGGGTGACTTAAACTACAGAAATTGATTTTCTCAGAATTCTGGAGGCTAGAAGTCCAAGATCAAGGTGTTGGCAAGGTTGGTTTCTTCTAAGGCCTCTCTTCTTGCCTTGTGGATGGCTATTTTCCTCCTACGTCTTCACATGGTCTTTTCCTCTGTTTGTGTCTGTGTCCTAATCTCTTTTTATAAGGACACTTGTCATACTGGATTAGGACCCACCATATGACCTCATTTTATCTTAACTTCCACCTTAAACTGCCACTTTAAAGGCCCTATCTCTATCTATAGATACTAGGGGTTAAGATTTCAACATACGAACTTTTTTATTTTTGGAGAGACACAATTCAGCCCATATTATATGACTAGGATCTTTGCATATGCTTCTTTGCCATTTGTACATCTTCTTTGCTGAGTTGTCCATTCAGGTCTTTTGCCCATTTTAAAATTGTTGTTTTGTTATTGTTCAATTTTAAGAATTCTTTATGTGTTTTAGATACTGATCTTTCTCAGAATGTGTTTGCAAATATTTTCTCTCAACCTGTGGCTTATCTTTTCATTGTCTTAACAGTGTTTATCACAGGGCAGAAGTTTTTAATTTTAATTATATCCAAGTTCCTAATTTTTTCTTTCATGGATCATGTTTTTAGTGTTGTATCTAAAATGTCGTTGCCAAACTCAAGGTCAGTCTGATTTTCTCTTGTGATAACTTCTAGGAGTTTTATAGTTTTGTGTTTTACATTTAGATTTATGATCCATTGAGCTAATTTTTGTGAAAGGTATAAGGTCTGTGTCTAGATTTATTATCTTTTTTGCGTGTGAATATCTGGGTGTTCCAATACTGTTTCTTGAAAAGATTATGCCTTCTCCATTGAACTGCCTTTGCTCTTTTGTCAAAGATCAGTTGTCTGTATTAGTATGGGTCTATTTCTGGGCTCTCTGTTCTTTTCCACTAATCTATTGGTCTATTTTCACCAATACCATACTTTCTTGATTACTGTAGCTTTATAGTAAGTCTCCAGGTTTAGTAGTGTCAGTTCTCTGACTTTGATCTTCTCTCTCAATATTTTGTTGGTTATTCTGGGCCTTTTGCCTTTCCATATAAACTTTACAATTTCGGTTCGTTGATGTCTGCAAAATAATTTGCGGGGATTTTGACTGGGATTGCATTGTGTGTATAGATCAAAGTGGGAAGAACTGATCTCAATATTGAGTCTTCCTATTCATGAACATGTAATACCTCTCCATTTATTTAGATCTTTGATTTCTTTCATCAAAGTTTTATAGTTTTTCTCACATAGTTTTTGTACATGTTTTATTAGATTTACACCTACATTATTTCACTTCTTGGTGTTAATGTAATGGTATTACCTTTATAATAATTCTTTTTACCTTATATTGGCTTTCTTTGGGTTAAGTATTTGCCTAATGTATCTTTTTTGTCCATTGCCTTGTAACCTTTCTGTGTTCTTATGTCTTTGTAATGTTTTCTAAATAGAATATATTTGGGTTTTACTTGTTCTCAAAAAATATGATCTGAAAAGTCTTCATCTTTTAACCTGAGTTAAATAGAATTTTACCTATTTGCATTTATTTTAATTACTAATATATTTGGATTCATTTATGCTATTTCGTTTTCTACTTTTCAATTTTTTATATTTAAGTATTTTTCTTTCTTGACTTCATTTAAGTTATATTTCTACTCCCCTTTCTTTCCATTCCATTCTCTACTTGTATAAAAGTTATACCTATGAATATGTTTCTTAGTAATTACTGTAGGTACTTCGACATACATACTTAGCAAAATCTAAGTTAATTATATTTTACTCTTTCCTAAACGATTGAAAATTTATAGAAACTGAGTTATTCAGTTTCTACTTTATTTTCCCCCAAAATTTCACATTATTATAATGGCTTTTATATGTAATCAATATTTTTTTATTTTGCTCACATACTTACCAATATCTTTAGTCATTAATCCTCAGAACTTGGGATCATTTTGTTTCTACTTCATGCATATTCTTTAAAATTCCTTTTAGAAAGCATCTGTTGGCAGCAAAGTCTCTCAGTTTTTGTTTGTCTTTTCTAATGTTAGTTTTCCTGAGTAAAACTAAAAATTGGTGGAAATTTTAGTTTAAAAGATATTTTCTCCCTGCATATTTGCAATTAATCTGCATACTCACAATTAATTCTACTGTTTTCTGTTTTCTGTCATTTTTTTAAAGAAGTCAGCTCTGAGTCTGTCTGATCCATACTGTTGTGATTTATCTTTTTTTTAGTGCTTTTCAAGATTTTCCTTTGTGTTCTACAGTTTCACTATGATGTGTCTCGGTGGAGATTTCTTTTGTTTATCTCATTTGGCATCACGAGTCTTCCAGCATCTGGGAATTATTATCCTTGATCAATTCTGTAAAATTTCTTGTTCGTATACTTAAAATATTTTCACCTTTACCTTTTTATTATCTAGTTCTGAAGCTCTGATGAGTTGTATAGTAAACTTTCTTACTTTCCTATGCCTCTTTTGTATTTTTCATAATTTTATTTCCCTGGACAGCATTCTGGATATCTTCAGATCTATCTTTCCATTTCTTGATTCTTTCTTCAGCTACGTTTATTCTCCTGCTTACTCTAACCACAGAGTTTTTCGTTATAAAATTTTAATTTTTTTTCTTTTCGTAAATCTGGTTGGTTGTTACTTATTGTCACTTATTTTTCTCATATTTTCAAGTTTTTATTTTATGTCTTTAAACATTTTAAATGTTATCTTTTATTTTATGTTAAATAATTCAATATTTAAAGTCTCCGTAAGTCTGATTCTGCCATCTGTTTCTGTTGAGCCTAACTTATGGCGCCTTTTTTCTTTGTGAGTTTTGTGGTTTATTATTGTGAGATGCCAATTTTACTTGGAATTTAATGTATGGGAATTTTTGAGGCCTGAGTTAGTGCCTCCAGAGATTGCATTCACTTCTGCCAGGTGTCTGGTGGCACTGCCAACGTGGGACTACTTTCATTTATATTCTCTGAAAAAAATTTTTTTTTTTTTTTTAATATATTAGACAGGTAAAGTGAAATTTGCTTATGATCACAGATTTTGAGGGAGGAAAATTTTGCCTTCTTCTGAGCTTTAAGGTTAACCCAAGCTACTTTCCTTTGTCTTTGTCCAGATGGCGCTTCATTCTGTTTTTCATTTAACTTTACACTGAGGGTGAGCCGTTTGGGATCCTCACTTTACCCAGGAACCTTGTTAGAATTCCCATTTTGGCTGGCCTCATGCTTTCTGGGTCCCGTGCAGCCGGGAAGGCGGACACCCAAGTCCTCTAGAACTCAGTGGTGTCCCGTGGTACGAGATGGTGGATGGCTTTGGTGCTTGGTTACCTCTCATGGTTTCTCTCTTTTTGGTTTTGGTCTCTTTGAAATTGTGCCTTTTGTGTTAGCTCAACAGTATTTAAAAAAAAAAAAATTATAGTTGATTTAAAATATACTTGCTTAAATCAAGAGATTCATTCAGCACACCTAGTCAGCCATTAACTGCCAGAACCGGAAATCCCATTCTTTTTAAACACATCTTTTTAAAAATCTATCTTTTTGTGAATTCTTTTGTTTTTTTAAATTACTCTGTCATTTGGGATGATCACAATATTAAGCTCTGAAATCTATTATTTAATATTTTATAAATTGGATCTATTTACTGATAGTGTTTTTCAAACCATTTTTATCTTTTTCTTTTTTCGTATCAAGATTAAATTTGAGAGTAAAAAGATTCACTTTATCACTATATAATTCAGTTTTATTTGGTTTTAAAGAAATTTTATGATAAAACTTCCAAAAGTTGTGTCATGATCTTAACTTATTCATATCTGTGCATCATTTGTGGGAAAGGTAATATAAACATTTGTCAAGAAATCTAAATTACTTTTATATTTTGTATGTACTTACTGTCTTTGCTTTCCATTTTCACATAAATATTTGAAATACTGAACATAGATAAATCATAAAAGGTAACTTTTAATAGGGACTGCAAATCTGTGACTTATTTTTCCTCTTCTGACCTTAACTTTCACATTTAGGTTTTAGGAGAAGTTTCAGTACAACTTCTGCTTCTTCCCAAAAAGAGATTAACAGAAGAAATGCTTTTGCCAAGTGAGTATTAAGATTTAGAAAAACATCTTTCACGAGGAACACGGCAGGATTCTGTGAAGGAAGAAAAGTGGAATTTTGTGCCTTTTACATTACTCGGTAGAATTTTAACACTTAGGAGAAAAGGTGTGATGAATGTATTGAGAAGAATTCTTTCTGCCTCCTTTGCGAGCTCAATTAGAAATGTCAGCAGTGACTAAGGCAGTGCACTGCACACATTTTCAAAGAGGTTTAGTACTGTCAATAAAAACTGGAGTAATTTACATTTTGTGCTATCATTGAATAGAGTAGGTTGATTTTAAACTCTGTTTACTTAATTAGAGATTTGATTCAATGCGTTTGGCAGTACCTGAAAGAAATGTCAGGCCTATTTGCATAAGGTAATCTTACTGTTATTTTAAAAAAAAATACTCCTACCTCATCTTGTAGAGTATACTGCTCAAAATGCTTTTTCGTTTGTTTCTTTGTAGAGAGAATCTCTTTTTCTTTCTCATTTACATTTATCCCCCACCTCCAACACACACACACTTTACTCCCCTTGATAGTTTTCTAAGACTTAGAAATGGTTATTACTTTTAGAGAATGTGATGCTCTTCTAGACTGGTTAAAGTCTAGATTTATCATTTTAAATCGTTCCAATGAACCTATGAACTTCCCTGGGGGTGGGGGTGGGTATGAGGAACACCTGACTGAGTAGGGAAATGCACATCCACTGTAGTGGGACCCTAAAGCCACTAGAAATTAGAGCCCAAGCACTAGGACTTGACCATCAACTGAGCAACAGGCAGATATTTATGTAATAACCAGGTGTAAAGTTATTGGGAGGCTCCACAAAGGTCTGAAATTTCACTCGAGAGCCCTGGCTTGTCTTAGGCACTGTCGGGTACTGTTTAGTAGTGTTGGGTGGATTTGTTTTTTTCTCCCCCTTCCTTAAAACCTTCTCCGATTTTTAGCATTTTGAAATTGGTCTCCTCACCTGAGTAGCTAAAAGAGTTTAAGGGCAGTAGCTTTATGCTCCAGTCTATTGAAGATTTTCAAGAGTTCTTAGGCATAATGGAAGAAATTACTAAGAAGAGACAACCAGAATATAAAGGATTCTGAAGGGGAAGGAAGAGGTATCAAAATCAGTGTTGAGATGTTGGTGAGTGGAAGAATGTGATACA